CCAACGTGGCTGCAGATTGGGATGGGCACCAGATTCAGGCCCACGTAGTCAGCAGACTTCATTTTATTCTAAGGGGGTGGGTAGGCATCTCCACCACAAACGGTTGCACATAACTTGATCCAGGAACCATGTGCAAGTCATGTGGAGGTCACTTTCAACTGGGCATGCCCTACGTTCAATGTGTTTAGCGAACAGTAACTTTAGATTGAAATTCTCCAACTATCTACTTTGGAACAGTTGTACGGCAACTATGTTAGCAAAGCATCTGGAGAGGAGGAATCCTATCAGAGCCAATGGACTGGTTCACATGGACCCTGGTGCACACCAAGAGATGCCACCCTATTTGTGATGTGCAGACTAGGGAAGGGTTTGCTGCCCTGGTTAACAAGCTACTCCAGAACCTTACTGGAACTCAGTTGCAACAAGCCACCATGCCTGGGTTCCCCACAGTGTCCATCTGCCACAGGTTCAGTATTCACAATGGCGTCTGGCACACACTACAACCCACCATGGTTTATTTAAGTTATGGTGGTTGCCAGACATTGTGCTAATCAGGTGCATAACCAGGCTCACACAACACAAGGGTGGCTAATAAATCATGCTAGCTGGATAATTACTCCTGTGCATATCACCCATGTACTGCCCAATTTATTTAACTACCCCTCACTGGGTGTGGCTTGCCTGACGTCTGAACCCAGTAAAGGTAGGTGGCTGGGGTGGTCAACAAACCACCCAGAACCCATGGTCTGCCATCTTTGCCAGGTTCAAATACTGGCAATATTTGATCAAGACATGGGCATTAGGTTAATTGGTCAGCATGACAGCAGTAAACACAGGGGTACTTAACAAAGCCCATGGTTTATCAACCACTCCCATGTCATGCGAACTGGCCCAATGGCTACCTTTAGAGATGGCAATCCCAAAACTGCAGCGTATGCGCTATGCCTAAACATGAACTCCACTCAGAGTGCTTAGCTGGAGTTTATGGCTCAGAATCTCAATAGCAGCAATTACTTTCCCCTGTTTGTAGATGCAGGATTTCCTTCTCTTGAACTTCTCCAGATGCACTTTGGACAGGAAGGAAGATCATTCCCTTCTTCAGAGAAGAAACCAGTGTTGTATATTTCTTTAGTGGCAATTAAACAGTTCTTCCACATCCATTTATGCCTGGCTTATCAGCCAGGAAGACTGTTCCACTGGGAGGCAACCTTCCGCTCACCCTCGGCAGTTCATCAGTTCTTGTTACATTCCACACAGGAGAGATCAAAGAGCAGAATCAGACAAGCTTGATCCTCAATACCCAAAATAACAGAAAAGATGACGAAAGACTATGACTAGCAGATCTCAAGGGTCATTTCATACACCACTCAGGGGCAAACCCAGGAAAGTTACTGCATAGACACCCAACACAGAGCAGCCACCAGTCACAAGTACCTGGACAAAAAATGTTACAAACTATGTTTGGATTTCTAAGTGTATTCCTGAAAATGGATGGTTTATACAAGCAATGGAGAGCCAGCTGGCTGCTGTTCCTGATCTGCACAACAGCCACTTGAACCAGAGGTGGGCAATTTTTGGCTGTCCCCACGCTCTGACTTACAACTCCCATCAGTCCTAGCCAGCAGAGCAAATGATGAGGGATCATAGGAGTTGTAGGCCAAAACATCTAAAGGGCCACAAGTTGCCCACCTCTGACTTAAACACATGCAGACTCACATCATCCATTGCCTAGCATTGGATGGAGAATATTATTCTCTTGAGTATTTTTAAGGCCTTCATAGAAATGCAGGCTAATGTTACAGAAATAGGATTACTCCTTATCTAGTTGTTACTAATAGTAAGATAAGACCCTTCAATTTCCTATCTCTGTCAGCCAAAGATGACAAATCAGAGGGAATTTCAGAGCTCTGTTGATGGCTTGCTGCTTGAGATGGTCGTGCCAACAGTGATGATCCAGGAAAGTCTTTACTTCATAAAACAGAGTCATTTGGGATGTTAAATTCACAGGCTGGTTAGACAGCTTATGCTCTTACTGAAAACAACTCAAACCTTGATAGGTGAGATGCTGTAGAAAGCAAAGCTGTGAAAAAGGAAGGGGCTGGGAAAGAGTGTGTGGAATTGCTTCCTTATTTACAAGTGCAGACTTGCCTGTTGGTTTAGAAGACCAGAGAGAAATTTTAATAAGCTGGGCTAATTGAATCAATCTTAATTGAACTTGAGTAAAGATGAGGCCGGGTGATTCCTGGGTGAGAAGTCAGTGGAATTCATACCTAGAGAAGGACTCAAGCTTGCCCCCAAAAGTCCCTGCACAACTTGAAAAAGACCTACTGTGTTCTTCCAGATAGGTGGAAGACCTTTCATGTCAAAGAGTTGTGTCTTTTTTAAAAAATCACAAATTCCATAGCAGAGCCCTAGCAAGAAGGCTCAAGAACAGTGGTTCAATAATAAACTTTAATTCCATGGGGCAGCATCCAACTGTACTATTCCATTAGCACAAATGGCATTGCTAAATGATAGACAAAAAGAGAATCTAATCAAAGTGGTTGTGCATTTGCACAACACATCACGCAACTGGTTATGCATCGTTCTTGTGCAACCCATTGTCTAATTGCTCCGGCAAGCTGCCGTGAAACCGCTTGTGTAAGCACAATGGGCAACCACCTGCACAATGGGGAGATTTCGGGGTGTACTGCTAGCACTCTTGTTAATGGAATAAAACTGTCGGATGCTGCCACATGTCTTCAAATGACTGCAGGATCTATAGTATTTTTGCAGTCATGGAGTTTTGGTGATTAGGTTGTTTGCTCCTATAACATTTATCTAGCCTCTATTGGAAAAACATCTGGCTAAGAGGAGTTGGGCATCTTAAGCCTGCATCCAAGCTTGCTAGTCATGGTAAACCCTACTGGGGCGATCAGAGGCTTCTTCTATGGAGTTCCATTGAAATGAAGGTTAGTCTGCTTTGGCTATCACAGAAGTCAGGAAATGTGTCATATCTAGTATCTCATCTGAAAATGCATCAGAAACAAGGGGTGCCTTTGCTTTTCTAAATTAAGCCTAGAGGCAGACAATGAAAGGAGAAGAAAGTGACTTGAGAGAATTTTCCTTCTCATGGTGGACATGCATCGTTTGCCCCACTGTTGCCTCTTGCACAGGCAGAGCCAAATGCAGACCAGAGATGAAAAACAGTGCAGGGTTTTTGTTTGCTTGCTCTGTTCTTCTCAAAGCACTGAAAGTGGAGTAGTCATTTCCCATGCACACCCAATTATTCCTCTTGTCCCACGGTTATCTCTGGCCATATATGCTTTTCAGCAGCTGAGTTCCGCAACAAATCTTTGACAAGAAAAACCAACAAAATCTGTGAACGGAGGCAAGACTGGGTTGGATGTCAACATCCTGTGCGGCCATTTGTCTGACACGCTGCCTTTGATTCTCTGCAGGGAAAAGCAGATGATATTGTCCATCTCCACTGAGAGCTGTCCAAGCCGAAGGAGGGTAAGCTCAGGATGGTTAATGCCACCAGAACATGCTCTCATGTCGATCTTGTCCGCATCTACCAATCTCTTCCCACAATGATTCATTCTGCTGCTCTGAACAGTGGAGTTTGCCACATTGGCTTCTTTGATTTTAAGAAATGTATTTACAGGTTATTAAACATGCATCACTGGGAAATTCAAACCCAGCCTCAGAAACACACAGGTATGAGGAAGGCAGGAGGAGAAAGACTCCGAAGGCGATCACCGAGGAGCAAGGAGGCCTTACAGTGGGGCTTCCAGAAACCAAATGCTTGGGTACAACTTAACAGGACGCAGCCAGACGCTTAACTGCAGAAACAGAAGGGAAGGCAGACAATACAGAACTGCAATCCCAAAGAAAATGAAATCCCTGCAGGGCACAGATGGAAAAGGTCACTCCCTTCTGGTAGTGACACACAGGAGTCTCACTCAGTCATAATCTATTCTTCTCTCAGGAGAAAAGGGAGAGAAATAGCTGAATAAAGGAGGGCTGTGAAGCGTGCGTGTCTCTGAGTGTGAGAGCGCGTGTATCAACAGACATGTAGAAAGAGTAAGTCCGGGCAAGAAAGAAGGTAAAGAGTTTCAACAAAGCAAGGCCCGTTTATTATCACAGCTGGGCTACAGAAGAGTTCTTTGTTACGGTACCACTGCAAGCATGTGGCTGGGCTTACTGGGAGGTTAGCTCACCTAAAATCCCACAATTATTGTTTATATTTTAAGGAGATGTAGAAGCACATCAAGCCTAAATGGCTCTACCAGCAGCTCAGTTTTGCGTAAGCTATGGATGCTCAATGTAAACCAAGCTGGCTACCCCTATTCTCTATGTACAGAAGCACACACGCCCACATACAAGCACCCGCCCTTTGCTGATGCCGCCCGAAGGCATCTGTGGCATTACTGGGCAAGGCAATGCACACAACCATACACTTGCAACACCACACACTCACAAAGCACTGAGTGTCTCTGAATGCAGGGGAAGTGGGGAACTATATATCCCTCTAAAGAGAAAAGAATTTCATTTACCGTGGTGGTTAAAACACATACAACTGAGCTGAAAGAAAAGAGTACCACAACTATCTAGAAACAACCCAACCAAGAGCAAGCACACAGGCTGATCTGGGATGACTGTTTCAACTGCAGAGGGGCAACAGCTGTTCTTCCATCATGCGGAGGACTGTTCTACCTAGGGCTGCCTTTGGCTTCGCTTTCCCCGTGTGTCCCACTGATCTGACTTCCACAATCAATAGTTTTATTTCTCCTCCCTTGACCAATATTCACAGGCATTCTTGTGTCAGAACGCTTCTGTCTATCAGGGCATCAAGAGACGAGAAGGAAGCCCTTTACTCCACAGCCTTAGCTGGCACATCAGTTAAATGGAAAGCAACTAGAGATAAATTTGGAACACATTTCAAGAAAGACCCACCGCTGAGCACTCTAATGAGCAGGCATGAGTGCATCAGAAGTGATCACAAGTCAGCCATTCACTCGGTAACAGGAAGACAGGACCATGCATGTCCCTCCAGGCGGCTGAAAAGTTCTTCATGTGACAGCCATTGAACAGCATCTGGAACAAGCAGACGTGCTACCTGCCCCTGCCCGATTTGGCCCCTGCTCTAACATCTAGAGGAGGGGGCAGCTCCTAGTCCCTGGCCTGTCATTCAGATCCTGCTGATCACGTTTTCTCTGCTGCAATGAAGACGAAGGAAGCGCTGGCAGACTCTGGGCTGATTTCAGAGCATGACTGCAAGATGCCAGAGGTGATCTGGCGCACCAAGGTATGTCTCTTAACAGTGCATTACTTACTGCAGGATATTGCTAGGTACCACAGCTACAGATCCGAAGGGGGCAAGCGAATGTAGCTCTCAAGCTTTGCAAATCTGGTTAGGAGCTGAAATGGGTCACTGGCAATCTAGAAATTAAGTTATTATTTTAAAAAAACAAAACCTGTACATACAGTGCTGAGAACTTCCCCCTCCCATTTTGCTTTGCTACAGTTTTGATCTCTGCTAAGCTGGAAGAGTGCAGATCGTCTCCATAACCATGTAAAGAGGATGGGCTCACCCAGGCAGGCACACTGATGCACACGCACGCACACTCGCACAACATGTTCTGCCATAGTTAGTTACATTCAACTGTGTTTCCTGATCATCTTGTTAAGCTGTTCCTCTCCTTTGAGTTTTGACTGCGGTCTCCCAGCCCTGCTGCCAGCATCCCGACCAAACTGCGCTTTTAAGTTACTTCTACCAGATGTAGCCTCCATCATCTGCCTCTCCTGCCTCTCCCTCTTCTTCTTCGGCCTCCTCGCCAGCTTCCTCGGTCTCTTTTTCCTCTTCATCTTCCCATCCAACGCCACTCCCAAAGTCCCCTGAGACTCCAACAATATCATCTGCGGGAATGAGAACGAGGAAGGCACTGGTCAGAAAACACACTGATGCACCTAACGTCTGTTTTCCTGGGCAGGAGGCTTTCTGTTCTGCTACGTGAATTAAAATGGCTGAGGTGGTCACCCCAGTCTCTGAGGGTTTTGCACAAATGGAGGTCTTGTGAGCCAGGCTGTTGCGTTATTCAAAACAGGTATCCTGTCAGGCCCTGGTTGCCAATGAGGTATAATGAGAACTAGCCTGCTTTTGCTTCAAGCCTTGTTGGAATATGCCTTCCTGTTATAACAAAGCACTAGGAGAGATCCAGCTTTCACCTGGAAAAGCTATTTGAAGTTTTCAAGAAAAAGACTATTTTGGATTTCCAGGACATGGAGGACTAGTATTACTTGCCTATATGATTGCTTCTGCACCCCAGCAATTTCTGCTCGATAAATAACATAAGCAGTCTGCAAAAGATACCATGGGTCCCCCGTGCCTGCTCCTCTAAAGGAATCCTATCCCATAAAGCTCTCCCAGATGTCCCAGTCCTCAGAGAAGGCATGGCATAAGCATAACCACCCGGTTCACCTATCTAAACTCGGAGCAGAAACAGTCAGTGGTTTTCATGTCTTCTCCTACCATGCAGCTTGCCTATCTTCCACCTCCACACAAGAGACCTGCGAAATTCACAGCTCACTCATTTCTTAATGAAACACAGCCTGCTGAACAGCAGACTCATATTTCAGTGCTCCTCAAACGGTATGTAGCCAAACTGTACAGAAGTACAACCTGCCAAGAGGAGGCAGTATGGGGAAAGAGCTAAAAGTACGACTGAGCGTGCTCAGTGGCCGCAGAATGACGGCTGACTGCTGGGAGGTAACAGGGGAGAGGAAGGGGGATGGAATGGAGTACTTTGAAAGAAATCATGACCGGATGGCTGGCACCTTGAATAAGTCCATTCCACACTGCAACATTTGGTCACAGGTTTCACTTGCAATGTGTATCCTCCCCCAGGCACACACACAGCCACAAAGTTACCCCTGTCTTCTCTCCCTTTTCCTTACCACAATCTGGATTCCCATGCATCCGTGTTCCTGCCAGCTCCATGCCAAGATGGTCAACGCACCAGCACTCTCCACTGCTTGGGTCACACTGCATTTTTCGGTAGTACCCATCTTCATCACAGCTAGGAATAAAGACCCCTGGGGAAACAAAAGCCATCTTTGGAACTGAGCTGATTAGATATGCTTGCTTCTTCTTAGGAAAATGAGCTATACTACACGTACGGTTAGCAAACAGACACATGTATTGTGTTAGTCACCAGCATCCTGGAATCCACTACCATAACAGAGAATGTAAAGAAAGATATATGTTGAATTGAATGTAAATGTAAAAGGTACAATTAAACTAGTGTATTTAAAAACAAATACTTGCTCTGAACTATTTTTAAAATTCCGCTTCTTCAGCACTCAGTTAATTGTAACATCTCACCTTGCATCTAGACTAAACTATAGAAACATTGCAGGGAAAGCCTTCACATTATTATTTTCTGGGCAAAAATGGTTGTTGTCATCCTAGGGCTCACTGCAAATGGCCTTCCAAAATTCTGCGCCCGGCTTACGGAGGCTGAAATTAGGGAGGAGAGAAGGCAGAATTCTGCAACGGTTTGGGGTGGGCTAGAGAACATTCTCGGAAATCGTTTGTTAAAACTCATGAACTGCTGAATGCTTCCCTGCAACTTGTTCTTCGAGTGGTCCTCTGTGCCTGTTGTCAGGAAGATTTCCAAGCTAGACTTGTTCTGGCAGCAGCTGCCCCCCTTGGAATACCTGGGGGGGGGGGGCTCCCACCATTTCCCCAGTTCTCTTGAGACCAGCATTGTGGCCTGCGAACAAGGGGGGAGGTTGATGAATGGCCAACCTGTTCCATTCAGGCAAGTACCCGAAGGAAAGCTAAGGAACCGAGCTGTCGACGCCAACGTGGGGTCTGTGGGCGGGTTGTGTGAATGCACAGATGTCCACTTGAAGAATGACAGTTACAGATGAGCAACCTGCCTTTCTTCTTTGGGGTCTCCGCGCAAAACACGTGTGGGCGGCTAGCCAGCTTTCCTCCAGTTAGGGACAGGGTGTGTGCAGGCTTCTACACAGTGCTTCTCGCCTAGACAAAAGATGTAAAGCAAGTGCCCATCCATGGGAGGTGGGCAACTGCCACATTGGACACGCTTCTGAAAAGGCTTATTAAGTGCCATCGAGAAAGAAGAAAGAAAAGAATTAGAAACAAAGGGATAGTCTGACAAAGAACAACAATAGAAGGGTTTCTTTTTTAGATTTTTTTTTGGGGGGGTGGGGGAATAAAGCAGGGTTTTCGAAAAAGGAAAATGAGACAGATAATGAGAGAACAAGTTAAGAAAGAGGATGCAAAAGAAGCAAAAAAAAAAAAAAAAGACTGTAGAGAAATGCAAGCAGTATCAGAGAAGAAAAATCCTGAGGCACCCACAAGAGCAGTTGGAAGAGAAGTGGGGGAAATGGTGGGAGCCCCTCCTAGATATACCAGGGGGACGGAAGGACAAATCTTCCTAACAGGACTCATGGAGGTGCAGAGCCCTTATGTGTGATGCACAGAGACCGTGAAGAAGAACTATCATTAGCTGAGGGGATATGTGAGCAATGGACGAGAGGAAAGACAGGATGGAAGAGCCCGGCATCATCACTCCCTTCCACAATAATAAAATAATGTTAACTAAGATCAAAACTGGATCCAGAGTTTTATCTCAAACTCTTCACCCTATGCATGGGAAAAGAAATATTCCTCGATCATTCCAGAGTGCAGGACACAGAATAATGGGCTCAAGTTATAGGAAGTCAGGTTCCAGCTGAACATCAGGAAGAACTTCCTGATTGTTAGAGCAGTCCAACAATGAAACCAATGACCTAGGGAGGTTGTGGGTTCACCCACATTGGAGGTATTCAAGACCCAGCTTGACAGCCATCTGGGAAAGATGGTTAGAATGGGACTCCTCCACACAGGGGGTTAGACTCAATGACCCTCCGACTCTTTCCAACTCTACTGTTCTATGATTCTATGACTGAGAAGAGATCCTGTCCTTCCTCTTTGTGACAGCCTTTCAAGTAATTGTAGAATGCTATCCTATCTCTCCTCAGTTGTCTCTTCTTAAAGCTAAACATGTGCAGTTCTTTCAATCTCTCCTCACAGGGCTTTGTTTCCAGTCCCCGGATCATTCTCGTTGCCCTCCTCTGAGCCCTTCCCAGCTTGTCTGCACCTTTCTTGAACTGTGGTGCCCAGAACTGGGCACAGTGCTCCAGGTGAGGCGTAACTAGTGCTGAGTGTAGGGGAACTAGTACATCAAGGGTTTAAAAGTGAAATGCCTTTTAATGCAGCCTAAAATAACATTTGCCCTTTTTGCATTCACATCATATTGTTGACTCATATTCAGCTTGTGATCTCCAACACTTCCAAGATCCTTCTCACTTGCAGTTTTGTTGAGCCAAGTATTCCCCATCTTGTAAGGATGCGTCACATTTCCTTTTCCTAGGTGCAGAACTTGACTGTCCCTACTGAATTCCATTCTGTTGTTTCTGAGCAGTCAATATTGCAGATGGCCACATCCCATTCATTTGACCTCACGCCAGTGTCCCTGCCTGCTGGGCATGTGGTGGTTTCCCAGCTGTTTGCAGTAGTCCCCCCACCCCCTCGTTCTGAAATGCCCTGCTAAGACTCAGTTATTGGCAGTAAGAGCTTTTAGCTAACATCCAGGTATTCTTGGCCCTGCTTTTTTGTTCCACCCACCACTGGAATGCAGCCCCCATGTGCTCCTGAAACTGCATCTGGCACTTATGCTCAAAGAGGTTCAACACATGTTGGGTGCCAACCTGTTCACTGAAAAGGCAAGTTCCATAGTTTGCTCCACACAACCCTTAACATCTTGAGGTCACCTGAAGTCTGCAATACTTCCACGGGGTTTCTGAAGCCTCCCAGGCAAACAAAAAGCTTGTGAGAACAAAGCCAGGAATCAGATGTGCATCTTGTATAATGGGCCACAAAGGATGAGAATCTACAACTTTGATTCTCCAGCCTTCATGTAATCTTGACCCTTAGGGCCCAGTACTCAGTTCTGTTTTGTCTCGCTCTTGTCTATGGGTCCACAGGCTTTGCAAGTGTTGAAACACTACAAAAGCCTTGAAAAAGATGAGAGTAGGTTGAAATACTGCCTCTTTCAAATAATCTTCCACACTCTGGAAATAACAAAGACACACTATTGTCTGTCTCTCACCTCAGTGCCTAAACTTAAACAGGTTGGAGGCAGACTATTCTCTGTTTGGAGTGTTGAAAGTCTGAGGGCAATATGAAAGAGTTTGTGACTGGTAGTGGGTGAACTCATCTTTTCTTTTTCCCCCTTCTGATAAGCAGGTTTGGGTCTTGTTTCAGAAACCTACCAAACAGGGGCGACAAGAGAATTGTATATCTACAACTACAGGAAGAAAAACCCTTCTCAAACCATGTTGACTTGGCTAAGAACTACCATTTCTGCTCTGTACTTACACAGCAGATTCTCTTAGGAAATCTGTCCAAGCTGCATTGTATGTTGGGAATTAACACACTGCGGGGTAAAACACAGAGGAGGAAAAGAATAAAATGTGTACTTGCTGAAGGTCAGTAAGAAAGAGGAACCAAAATGCCTGGAAATACGATGATGGTAGGACAAGGCTCAAACGGAAACCTGGCCTTAACATGCTAGTCATCCCAGAAGGATTGTGTTTTCGTATGTGTGAGCAGTGTGTCATGTCAGAAAGGAAACTACTGGGCACAACATTCAGTTTGCCTTCACAAAACCTTGGAACACTTGGAAAACTTAAAACTTACACACAGGCACAGACATAATTAGATTCACCTTTGGTTTCTGGCACAGTGCCAAGGTACAGCACTCAGTCAACTATCAGCCCTTAAAAATGACGGTGGAGAACAAGTAACTCCTTGCCCTTCATCCAGAAATCCCAAATTATTTATCTTTGCATTTCCACAACTTACCAGGCTTCTTTTTTGCTGCTTCCTGGATCTGAGTCCTCTCCAGCTCCGCAAGACAGGGAGGCTCTGTAACACCCAAAGCAAAAGACCATCCATCCAGCCAGTGCCAAACCAGCACAGAATTGCTGCAGCTCAGCTACGAACTCATTCAAAAGGGCGTTATGCTCCTTCCCTAGTCTGGCATAGGAGGACAACTGCCCTGGTCTATCTAGCAGGGCAGTTTTAGGAATTCCTGAGATAGTATGTTCAAGGGCTTTGCATACTGAGGAAAAAGCATTACGTGGACATGACCTATTGCATTCTTATTCTTTTTATCATCCTTATTAATGCTTTGAGTCTCTGTTTAAACCAGGTTAAATATAGCACAGACCCACCATAAACACAACCACCTTTGCTTCATTCCCTGCAATCTGGGGGCAGCAGTACCATACGTGAATGAGTGGGAGAAGCACTTGGTTAAGTTATCCGTGTGCGTCTGTGTGTGCAAGGGAGGGGGTCTGCTACAAGGCTTTGCACTCACTATGGGACGACAGTATAGCACTGACTGAAAGGAGCGGACGCAACAGACTGTGCTGCCTGTGGGAGGAAACCTTGCATTGACGCACTCTCTCTCCAGAAGCAGAAGCACCACTCTGCGGTGGAGACGCGCCCATCCTTATAGGTGTCGCAGGAGTTGAAGAAAGGCCGGATGCAAATCTCATACTTGTCCAGGTTGATAGCAGCCAGCTCTGTCTGATCCAGGAAAAGGTCGCTGTTGGTGTCCAGTTTGGAAAACATCCAACCAATGGAGTCTTTGCAACTGGCCACAAGGCTCTTGTCCAGCACTGCAAACAGATGGTGCAAAAACAACAGTAAAGGACAAGCAGAGGAAAGAATGAGGCAGGTCATAGACGCCTTTGCACACCCTCAGTGCACACAAAAGCATTGTCTGCATTTCGCAATTCCACGATTGCAGACTTTGGAGGCAGAATCTCAGCCTTCATCCTTCCATCTGATAGAGAATGACATATTTGGGCCAATGAGGCTGCTGAGAAATAAGGGTGAATCTCAAGGTATGGAGAAGCAAACGGAGCCCAGTGAAGAGCAAGCATCTTTGGGAGCCATGGATTGTTGAGTGTCAACTCAAAAAGTGGGGAATGGGATGAAATGGCACACCATCTGGCTGCAACTGTGAACGGAAGCGCCTCCCCCAACCTGGTGCTATCGATTTGTGTTGGACTGAAGTTCCCATACAACTGATCCGGTAAGGCTGCTGTACCAGTGGCCGGGAATCATGGCGGCTCTAGTCCAACACATCCACACTGGGTTGGGGACAGGCTTGATTTTCAGTACCTACTTGTTGTTCAGAAGAAACAAGCTAGCTCCTAGCCACTGCAGCTGTGCACATAAGCTTGGTTAAAAATGCATAGTCACTGGAGTTAAGGAGTGGAAGCGTGGATGCCCTGTGGCTGGGCTCCTTCATGTACTGCCACTCCCCCCCATCACTCCTAGAAGTCCAACAGTGACTTATTTCAGGCATTTCTTGAAAATGCATGCATTTATTTTGGCTTTCTCCCAATCAATTAGGTACCTTTGTAGCACTCTCATGATAGCCCTGTGTGCAGCTTTTGTTTGCTTGATTTGTTTGTCTTTATTCTTTTTTAACAGTGCTGGGATTTGTTTGAAATGAGGAGCTGTGCATAAATAATAAAGTTGCATCTCTTATGCAAACTCAATTTAATCTGCATAATTTATACAGGTCCCAGGATTTGGCCTGAATTTGAATGCTGGCCCAGCAGCACCCTGATCTCATTCCTCGAAGGGGTTCTCTAGGAAAGGGAAACAATAAGGGAGACGGGGCCCTGATCCTTCCCCAGAATAAGTGCTTCCCTTTTTAGCTCATGCACAATGGATGATATTCCTGGCAGTCTGGCTCCAAATGCACTTTCTAGCAGCTGGACGAGAGCCTTCTTGGCCCCTTGCTCCACTTACAAAAGCTGAGGGGCACCAGCAAACAGCCAAGGGCACCAAAGGAAAAACATCCGCCAGAGATGCACCTAGTGGCACTGACCTCATCCAGGGCAATCCCAGCAGGAGAGGCACTCAGCTTGGCCGTTCCTCTTCTGTGACATTTAAACTAACCATCCTCCTCCTGACTGATTGCTCCTCATACTCCCCATGTGCTTTGGGACTAACCTGCTGACTCTTCTCAGGGACTGATTTACAATAAGTACACACAAATGTTTGCCTTTTGGCTCCTGCAGTGACCAGAAGAGCAGGGTGCCCACTCCTTCCAGCTAGCCTGTGAGCAAATGTGCCGGTGTTAATGTAAAGAGGGAAACTCGCTCACAACAAGAGGGTCACCTTGCTGTGATGAAGGCTTTTCTTCAGTCACAAGGCCAAAGGGAAACCCGTGTACAAACCGGAGCTCCTGCTTGCCTTTGGAAGGCTACACTTCTCAGAGTGACTTTGAGGACAAAGACACACGTTTTCAGACAATGACAATTCCGCGCACAGCATGCATAAAATCTGCTTTAATGCACAGAATCCCACTGATTAAAGTGACTGTGGCTCAAGGACTAACTGAATGGGGTACAGGCGAACATGGTCACAATAAAAGCCTGGTTTAATTGCATAATGCAGTGCTTGAGAGGTGGCATTGCAGGTACTGAGCCAAACAATTCAGTTTTGCCAGGGGAAAAGTGAGGAGCTGAAGCCACAGGAAGAACGAAGACTGACAGAATGGGCACAACTCGTCAGGTGCACTTGCTGAGCAAGCACCACTGAAATAAATGAGTCTATGCTCTTGTAGGTATGTCTTCGGTTCAGCTGTCAGAACAACTGACTGTGTCTCCTTCCCTGCATCTGGTGCCCCTTATAGCTTTAATACATTGAATACATTTATCCCGAAAATAGGCCCAGCGGCTCTCCAGGAGCTTTGGCCTACAACTCCCATCAGTTCTAGCAATATAGGCAATAGGAAAGGATCATGGGAGTTGCAGGCAAAAACAACGGGAGGGCCACACATTGCCCAACCCTTGAAAGCATTGTCTTTACGTTTTTGAGTAGGCATATACCTAAGCAAATTCACACACATAACCGATGGCCCCATTCAGCCTAGTGCAACTCAGGGCGAATGAAAGATTCAGAAGTCAACTCATGCGATAGAAACATGGCATGACTGCATCACATCAAACTGAAGGTTATGAATCACATGTCTGAACATTTTTTTCATATCAAATGCTCAGTGTATGTAGAAAACTACCAGGTCAAGGAGAAAACCTGAGTTAGAAGGTTTAAGCTACACATTCATCCACAAAATGTAAGTTTTGGAAGGAAAGGGAGGTTTCTCAGTCTTTTTTGTTTGAAATTGGGGTGTATTCAACTGTGTGATCCTCCAGTGGCAGCCGGAAAATGTACAGTCCCAGGAGGGTTGCACCATGTGATGTTTCTGAATATGTAGTTCCTCAGGAATAATACAGCTGTTGTATCCAGATACTGGCTGCACAAAGCAGGATCTCAGGAATTACACAGCCCCGTTCTAGTCTTTCCACAACAGTGTGCAATGTGACTTGTGGGCTGGATCCAGACATACGAAAGCCAGTGCAATCAATGGGAATTCAGTTAGGCATGATTAGTCTAGATCCCATTGGTAGCAATGGGTTTATTCGAAGCAGGATCAGCCTGGGTCTAACTTTGAATGCACATGTGTACATAGCAGGCACTGGTGCTGGTTTCCATACCAGTCACTGGATTGGCTCCTGTGCTTCCGGAGCTGTTCTGCTTGGCATTCTCATGCAGGAGCTGGAACCAGTCACGCAGCCGATCCCCCAAGTCTGCCAGATCTTGTCCAGTACAAGTTTCTGTAAACCAAAGAGCAGGCCATTAACTGAGCACCCCGAATGGGATACAGCAGTCTGAGGGAGGAGAAAAGCACCCAGGTTTTGTAGAAGCATTGCAAAATCATAGAAGAGCAGAGCTGGAAGGGGCCAGAGGGTCCAAGCCCCTGCTCAGTGCAGGACTCCAAGTTGAACTATCCCTCTCAGGTGGCTGTCCAGGTGCATTCTGAATGCCCACAACCTCCCTAGGCTATTGGTTCCATTGCTGTACTACTCTAACAGTCAGGAGATTTTTCCTGGTATCTAGCACAAATCTAGCTTCCTGTAATTTGAGTCCATTATTCTGTGTCCTGCACTCTGGGATGATCAAGAAGAGATCCTGTTCCTCCTCTTTGTGACATCTTTCAATTACTTGTAGAGTACTATCACATCTCTCTCCAGTCTTCTCTTTTCCTGGGGCTAAACATGCCCACCTCTTTCAATCTCTTTTCATGGGGCCTCATTTCCCACCCCTGGATCATTCTTGTTGCCCATCTCTGAACCCTTTCCAGCTTATCTGCATCTTTCTTACACTGTGACAGCCAGAACTGGGCACAGTACTTCAGATGAGGCCTAACCAGTGCTGAGTAAAGGGGAACTAGTACTTCATCGGATTTGCAAGAGATACTTCTATTAATGCAGCCTAAAATAACTTTTACCCTTCATATTGTTGACTCTTACTCAATTTGTGATTACAGCAATTCCAAGATCCTTCTCACTTGTAAGGATGCATTTGGTTTCTTTTTCCAGAGGGTGGGATTTGTCCTAAATTAATTTCATTTTGTTTTTTTAAGCTCAGTGCTCCAAGCTGTCAGGATCACCTTGAAACTTCTTTCTCCCAGGGTATTAGCTATCCCACCCAGTTTGATGTCATCTGCAAATCTGATAAGCTTGACTGGTCTGTAGTTCCCGGGTTCTTCTTTTTTTCCTTTCTTAAAGACAGAGACAATGGTAGCCTTTCTCCAGTCATTTGGCACTTCCCCTGTCCTGCATGATTTCTCAAAGATAATAAACAATTGTTCTGCCAGTTCTTCTGCCAGTTCCTTTAGGACCCTAGCATGGAGTTCATCAGGCCCTGGAGATCTGAACACATTCAATCCAATTAGATGATCCTTGACCATTTGCCTATCAGTCTTGAGCTTCCATTCTGTTCCTTCAGCTCATACTTTCCCTTTATCAGGAAGTTCATAGCTCTTCTTTTGGGAGAAGACTGAGCCAAAGCAGGAATTGAGCACTTCTGCTTTTTCTCTGTCATCTGTTACCATTCTGCCTTCCACACTGAGTAGCTGAACCCCCATTTCTTTCCTCTGTCTTTTACTTTGGACATATCCGAAAAGGGCCTTCTTATTGCTTTTAGCATCCCTTCCTAGCCTGAGTTCATTCCCAGCTTTTGAGTACCACTGAAGCTTTTCTATACTGTCGTACACAGTCACCCAAAGCTCAGTTTATCCATTTTGCAAGCCTTCTCCAACCATCTGGAGGTGCCCTTCAGACTGTGCCAGACTACAACAGACCATCACCCGTCCCTCATTCTGAGCGATGCTGCTCTCTAGCATGATGCTTCATCTCCTTGCAACAAATCAGTGTGGGAGTGTGCGTGTATGTGAGTGTGTAGAGAGAGAGAGAGTGAGAGAGCACATGTGTGTGTGGAAAATAGAGGAGAAGCAGGGGATGCCTGTTGATGAGGTGGGCAAAATGATCAGGAACTAGTGATATGTATCAATTTGGTGTACACAGGGTGGAAATTGTCAGTTTGAAGTCTGTCATCTGCAAACTAAGCCATGTTCTCTGATACCTTCTGGTCACAGAGTCATTATTGGAAGAAGGAAAACATCTTTCACAAAGCAATTTCACATAAATCACCATATTTAAGCCCAAGCTGCTAGGCTTCCCTTCTGCAGAAAGAAATCTATCTACTCAGGCTGTCAATGAAACAGATTTTGCATCCTCTTCTTTATTAACTAGGAAAAAGCAGGAAATGAAGGAATATGAAATGAGAATACCAGCATGGTGAGCAGCGTTGCAGATGGTGAACCAGGGAGGCCCAGTTCCAATCCCAACTCAGGCGTGATGCTTACCTTGGCTGCTTGACATTTCTCAACCTGACCTACCCCACGTACATGTTGTAAGGGTGGAACGGGGAAGCTCAGTTTTTTCCTGCCTTGAATTCCTTTGAGAATCAGCAGGATTCACATGTGCAAGTAATTCTTATGTATCTCTGTGTGAAATCTTAAGTGAACTATAGAACAGCTGCAAGGCAATGATGACTCTTGCAGTACCTTAGACTTCATTACGACGCAAGCATTCAGAAATAGCTACCAGAAAAATGGCTGCAAGTAAAATATAAACTATCTTTCGAATACATGGTTGGCCAGATGCAAGTCTGAATGGCACTTATGCCTCAGGATTTGACTGAAACTCTGGGTGTGATGATAGCATGTAGCAGGTAGTGGCTGGTAGGATTTTAATATATCTTGGATTTGCCTAGAATTCTGCCTCCAGTCCTCTAATAAGGCTGGGTAGTTGATAAGGCAGATCAGAAGACTGCTATTTAAGGATTAGGATGAAATTCATTGTAAAAGTATAAATTAAAAATCTGTTAAAAAGTAGGACTTCGACTTAAAATGGCTGAACTGGGCAAAACTCATACAGGGCACAATCCTATGCGTGTTCAGACAGAATGCTGTCCTACAGAACCTAGCATCCCTCCAGCTGGCCATGCTGCATTCTGGGAACTGTAGGACATTTTGCTGTCTAAAATGCAGGAGGCTGAGTCCCTAATTAAAGAGCTAAGATGTTTAAAAATCAGATTGCAGTGCTATACAAAATACATATTAATCTCTTGGTTTTTATTCCATTCATGCTCTTTAGTACTCATGGGCCACGGCTAGCAAACTCAGATGCTTTTTCAAAGAGACTTAACAGCTTCCTCCCTTTACTTTACAAATCAATATTGTGATGGGAATCAGATCTAGCCCTTCTCAGAACTCGTTCTGCAGATATGAACCTCTGCTTGGACAGGAACTATACTGCAGTTATAGCTCAATATGAACCGCAACAGAACTCCCAAATTTAACTTCTTGAGTTCAGTGTTAGCGCAGGTTAGACTTGGATGGAGGTGGCAGTTTCCCAGTAGACTGTAGCCATGTTGGCAACCACTAAGAGACATACGATCATTTCCACTGTCTTTCCAGCACAGGAAACATCAGATGACAGCAAAGCGCATGGCACTTCAGTGAGACATGTGCTACTGGGGGAGGGAACCTGCCTGTGCCCAGACGATCCTCTCCTCCAGCATGCCTGTGGGCAGAGAAAGGCATGTGGCACATGGGCCAGGAAAAGCTGCAGCCCTGAAATATGCTTTAGCAAATGGTTGTGCTTGAGCTAGTTTTAGTGTTGGAGGACAACATTCCGGAATCCTCAGCCTGCCTTAGTTCAACAGATGTGCAGGACACCAGGTTGGGAAGACCAAGTTAATACTTATTTATTAGATTTATATCCCGCCTTTTTTCTTTTAAATAACTCAGAGTGGCTTACCTCATTCTCCTCCCGCTGCTCTCAATCTTATCCCCACAGCAACAACCCTGTGAGGTAGGTTGGGCTGAGAGTCTGCGACTGGCCCAAAGCCACCCAGTTGGCTCTGTGGCTGAATGGGGACTAGAACCCAAATCGCCTGAGCCCCAGTCCCACACTCTTAACCACGACAGCATGCTGGCGCTCTTGATATAACAGAAACCCTGAGAGGGAGCATATACAGTCACCCAAATATTGGCTAGAACACGTCCTCTGACCTTGTTTGGCGTCTGTGGCTGAGGTCGGGCTATGCTCACTGGCACATGGACACTGGCCCTCACACTTGACTGTGAGCTGCTTGCTGGTCAGGCAGCCTTGCTGTTCCAGTTTGCACTGCAAAACAAGAAATGGAAAGTCAGAGGAGAAAGCAAGAAAGCCACCCAAATCACCTGCTGCTCAGTTAGACAAAGCCACTATCTCAGAACCCTCCTGGCACTCGGAAAAAGTCTGGCAAAACCTGGCATGAGATAACTTGGCCTCAGCTTACCTGCCCCTCCAGCACTACCTGGCACTCTCTGCCTCATTTGTCAGGCTCTGTCGTATCTTGTTCAACACAGGGCACAAACCGAGGAGAGGGCCATGTTCAAACTCCAGGACAAAACAGAGATTCAACCACCATCTAACACAAGCTAAGGATATCCACACATCAACATATAACAGTTTTTTAAGTGATTTAAAATGTTATAAATGATGTCCTGGGAATCACTCTAAACAACAACTCCAAAATACCCTAGTTGTAGGAATCAGTAGGAGCATACATACTAATATATTGACATCTGATATGAATATATGCTCTTTCTTTCTTGACTGAATTGTTCAAAATTACAATGAACAGTAATAAATTTAAGAACAACAAATAAACTGATTTCTTTACATTATGTCTGATCACTCAAGATTTCTATGCAATAATAATAATCATGCAAGATTATCTTCATTATCATTATTATTACCCATCCAGAGAGCTTTCTGCTGATGGAAGGTTTGTAATTTTTAATAAATAAATATCTGTTAAAGTCATCACATCCTCAACATAGATTAAATCATATACTTCCATGAGTCTTAAGAGGTTCTTGTGTGTTTTTCTCACTATTAGCAAATTCAGTAAACAGATACCATACTGTAAAATGTGTCAATTCCTACTTGGCCCAGTTTTACCTGATGATGTTTAGGAAATTTCTCCATTAATTCAAGGTTCCAAATTTGGTTTCCATATGGTAAGAGAAAGCTAATTGGCCAGTTGCCAGTCAGCAGCGATGACCTGTTGCCTAGAAAAAGGTCAGGAGCGCTTTATGTCTTATTTGGGAATTAGAGTCCATATAAACCAATAGTAGGTCCAGATTTGCAGATAAAGTTATATCTTGTTTTGAGATTTCACTAGCAAAGGCGAAGAGCTGGGCCCCAAACTTTCGCACCAGTAAGTAATCCCACCACATTTGCAAGGAACTGCTTCTGGGGACTCCACACTAGAATACACATTTTGATTTAAAACAGCTATTTCATTAGTATAATGTATACATTTCTGTGTTCTCCATACAAACGACAGTGAATCTTTGGAAGTATTCCATGGTAGTATAGTACTTTCTTTCTGGAATCTATTTAACGTCTCGAAAGTTGGATGGAACTTCAAAGTGAACTTAGTGCAGGTCCTGCCACCTATAGCACCCTTAAGCATAAAGTCCCCCTGCTTAAAAATCTCTAATGAAGAAATGGTCACCACTTTCCTAGGCGGCCCATTTCATTGTTGAACAGCTCCTACCATCAGAAAATTCTTCCTAATGTTTAGTCAAAATCCTCTTGTCTTTTGAAGCCCATGGTTCAGGCCCTTCACTTCCTGGCTGTGCAGCAGCTTCCCCAACCTTGTGTCTTCCAGACACATTTGGACTGCAACACCTGGAATTCCCAGTCAGTGGCCCTGCTGGATGGGATTTCTGTGCATCGTGATCCAAGTTCCACTGAAAGCTCCCAGGCTGAGGAAGGATGCAGCAGAGAAAAATGTGCTCCATCGCTGATGTCTGGGGAAAGCAGTTAGAATTCCAGATGGCTTGGACTTCAGTTCCCAGGCACTCCAGCCAGCAGTGGTCAGGAACTGAAGTCTGAAACATCTGGAGAATGACTTCTGCCTGCTCCTAATCAATGTGACAGTCCTACAAATGCTTTACAATGGCTGTCCCATTGCCTCTTAATCATCTCCAAAATAGCCAAGTCCTTCAAGGAGGACTTGGTCAACCTCGGATAAGAGACTACTCTCAGCTAATGTTTCTTCCAGGACTCCCCACCCCTAAGAGGCAGCAATCTTCAAAAAAAGCCAACCAGAGGGAGCACAAATGGCAGGACATGCAAACTCTATGGCAGGATGCAGTAAAGCTGCTGCTCTCTCAGGCTGTCTGCACTCACTCAAAAGGGTAGCACAAAAGAGCCACAGAGAGAGGAATCCGCCCACACAGCCATATAGGCTGCTCCTATAGCCAGGGCTGTGATACTGCTGTGATCCCACGGGAATGAAGAACAGCATTACTACAACCAGAAAATCCAGCTTCTTGAGAATCTCAATTTTTATTCTGATTCTTTTGAAACACACTCCTAATCCTTATAGTGGTGAAGATATGGGAAGATTTCTGCATTCATTGCCCACATGTGCTTCCAATGAATGCAGGAACTGTAGCAGGTGTGAGTAGGGAAGGGAACTGAATAGGGCCTTCAGTAGCCAGTGGCCAGGTTCCTCTGTAATGAGAAACAAAACATGAACAAAGCTTGTACAATTCTGCAATTATGATTATTTGTGCAGCAGCAATACAGGTTGCAGAATTCAGCTTTCTCTAGCATAGATCCTGGATTCTGATTTTACTGTAGGGTATACAAAAGTTTGACTTTAGCTCATTCCAAAACACAGGCACCCCATTACAATCCTTGGGATCCACTTCTGCTTTCCTCGCACTCTGGTGCCTCTCCTTTGGTTGACAGACAGATCAAATGGAGACATCATCCAGCAATAAGGCTTTCTTTTCAGTTGGCCCTTATGATTTCCAAGGGCTGATTGCAAGAGAAGGATTTTGTGGCAGGCAGGCAGGCAGGCAGGCCAGTTGGCCTTCTGATCCTGTTACTGTTTTGTTACTTAACTCTTCCCGCAATGAGGAACCAAAAGCAAACAACAATGAATCTTCTTAGTGCTAATCTCCCAGAATGAAATTTCCTGCTGTGCCCTGGTTCTGAACTAATCAGGCAAAGGCTTTTCAACAATTTTAGATGCATAATAGGCTACAAACTTGCTGCCACTTTCCTGCAAGGGATAAAAAATTTCTGCTAGCCACTGGCTGGCCTGGTGCGATTTCATGACTATTTCAATAATTGGAAAATGAAAACAGTTGCATGTTTTGATGACAGTAAAGTCAAGGAAGCTCTGACTGGGACAAAACTTCACTGAGAAGACTTATGAAAAGGGAGGGCTCTGTTGGTGACAGAATGAAGGGTAGAGGAGTCACCTGTGTGTTGCATAGGAGGAAATGTATCATCCTAAGACACAGATTGGCTTCATGTATACATATCCTAATAGATAAGCACAGATACAAATTTAGAGATAATTACCATAATTTAAGTAAAAATACCGAATGTCTCACTGCTGTGGCCGGGTGAGCAACGTGCCTTGCTTAGTCTTGCTGCTCATGGGAAACTTTGACAACCCAGCTCTTTCTTCTGATGGGTCTTTATTTTTAAATTGTACTTGGACTCAGCACCTTCAAAGTCTTAGTACCTAACGACACTGCCCGATACTGGGAGTCGCATATAATCATCAGGACTAGGTTTTTCCTCCATGAATCCCTGATCCCCTTTTGAATTTGTGGCCATCGCTACATTGTGTGGTAGTGAATTCCGTTGCTTAACTACACACTGCGTGAAGGAGGGCACCCTTTCATCTGTCCTGGGACACCGCTGGGTTCTAATGCCATGAGAGAGGGAGGAGGAGGAATCTTCCTCCCATACTTGTTGAAGGAAGACCTTTTCCATACCTCGCATGGTTTTGTCCCCCTCTGCATGTCTCCCTGCCTGTCCGCTAAGCCATATTGTAAATGCATTACAGCTGCTTATGTGGGAGATGTGCTCTTAAGAATGCTCCCCCACACTTCCAAATTAATGCTCAGAAGTGAGGAGGTGCGCAGGAAATTCTCATGGCCCAATTGCTGGCCAAGAACTGCCCTTGCCACCACACCAAGTGACCCAATGGCGGCTTTGACTCACAGCTGGTCTTAATGCATGTCCCAGGTTGAGCTTTTGTCCAAATTGTCCCTCCTTTGCAGCAGGAGGAAATCCTATAGCGGTTTGCTTGAGGTATGCATCTGAGTCAGTTTACCCCTGGCCGAGAGCGGGAGGCAATTCTTCACAAGGCAAGCTATCTGTTTTGAGAGAGTTAAACTCAGCTGCGTGTGCTAATGGCAAGAGGGGTTTAGCTGAAACAGGTTCCCCTATTCCAATAACCAGAAGGCAGAAAAAGTAGGTCAGAACAGCACGACAGAGGCTACCCAAATGAGCTTTAACTTGGTGAGACACCATACCCTGTTCCACTGTACTGTTTGCAATGTGATGTAAGGCACACACTGCTCATTTCTCATATGAAAGCTACACAACTGTGCCATCAACCAGAGACTCATTTTTTCCAGAAGTTAAGTTGGGTGACCTCAGCCCCGTGACCAACTTTATGCTGCTGCTAGCCATCCTTATAAAAAAGGGATCTGATCAGGTTCCACAACCAGCCAATGGACAATGTTCCCATTGTTAGCATTTTGCCTCCAGAAAGTGAGGAAGGTCTGCCATCTTGAAATCAACATATGTCCTTCATTTTCTAAGAGAAATCGGCAAGTTTGGATTCCCCTGCCTCCCCACCCGCAAAAGGCCAAAGTGCTCTTGGTGTCTTTATCCAGCTTACTTTCACCCCTGTTAAAGAGGTCCTGAGGGTTTTATATTGTTTAAAAAACCTGCAAGATCTGTTCAGCCAGAAGTGACAATGGGGTAAAAGGAATGTGTGTGTACTGATTAACCTGTCAAATAATTTTTAAACCATCTCAAAAACTGTCAGTTTAACTTATTTGATGATAATCACTGTACATTTTTGTCTAACTATAGTAATATTTTGAGAGTTCTACTTATCTGCAATGTTTAATAAAGACCACTTTAGCTGCTCTCAAAAGATTAAAAAACCCAGCTCATAATTACATCTTTTTAATCTTTAATATCAGCCAATTACACCACCTCTGGGACCTCAATAATTGGTCAGATAATTTTTATATAATTTTGTGACTTGGTTATATATTAGCAAAAGTTCCAGAGGTGTTATCTTTATGCAATTATCTTTAATATAACTCAGTAACACCACCTCTGGTGCTTCACTAATATATACGCAAGCATTTATTTAGCAGTACTAAAATGTAAAGTGCTCCCAATTTTGGACAATGTCTCCTCCTCCTCCTCCTCCTCCTTACAATTTTCATATGAGATAGCCATCTTATTTTTCAGATGAAAACCAAGACTGAGAGATAGTGATTTCCCCAAGAATTAGCCAGTGGATACCCTAGATAAGAAATGCATTATTGAAATCCAGATATAAATCCGTAAGACCAATAGATGGACGACGATTCTTAAGCTGGAAAGGAGAGCTGCTTTAGCTGTTTAAAGGATGCATCAACTGGAAGTATGAAGGACTTGTGTTTTTTCTCCATGTTTTGGATCTCATCCTAGGGGAAGATCAGGCATTTCCATTACAGTGAGATAAACATTCTCCTGATGCAAATAATGTGCATTTCCTTACTTCAGTCCAGAAATATGGAAAGAGAAAACATGAATCCCCTGAGCTTCCTTTCTCATCCAAGGGGGATAGCAAATGATGTAATCTCTTTTCACAGTCAAGAATTGTGTGAAATGCAAATAAGTATTATTTATGTGTTACATTTTCACCCTGTCTTTCCTCCAGGAAGGAAGTTTTATACTGAAAACTCTGTGGGACAGGTTAAGATTAAAATGTTTAACCCAAGGTCACACATGAGCATATTGTTATGCTAGCTGTGGATAGTGGGAAGTGGAGTCCAGCGCAACTGGAGAGCAGCAGCTTGTAAGTGTTAGACAATGGTATTAGAGTGGAAGACCCAAGATAAAGCCATTGGGCAACCTGAGTTTTTGTTTTCTTTTCCAGACTAGCCTACCTCACAGGGTTGCAGTGAGAATAAAATAGTGAGCCAGTGTGGTGTAGTGGTAAAGAGTGCAGGACTGGGACTCAGGCAATCTGGCTTCTAGTCCCTGCTCGGCCATGGAGCTAACTGGGCGACTTTGGGCCAGACTTTCACAGACTCTTACAGCGTCGTTGTGGGGATAAGACTGAGGAGAACGATATAAGCTAATTTGAGTTCTTTAAAAGAAAAAAGGCAGGGTGTAAATCTAATAAATAACAGGTGGGCAACCAATTTGAAGGGTATAAGTTCATAATAAATAGATGAACACTCATTACACACATACCAGAGCAGGGTTATAAAACGTGGACACACATTTCTCATTCCTCTCCTGGCTTCAGTCTTACAGTCTTATTCTGGGAGATCCAGTGCGGTATAGTGATTAAGAGTTCTGGATTGGGCTTTCGGAGGTCTGAGTACTAGTCCCCGCTCAGCCATGGAACTCACTGGGTAACTCTGGGCCAGTCACAGACCTTCGACCCAACCTACCTCAGGGGGTTGTTGTGATGAGGATAGGACAATTCTATAAGCCACTCTGAGTTCTTTGAAAGGGAAAAAGGGCAGGGTATAAATATAATAAATAAATAAATGACTTCTGGCTAGGCCAATCCAATTCCGACTGACAACTCTATCAGCTGCCCAGTATAGCAGCCAGTTCAGATCCTCTTATGTGTCAACCAATCCGTGAGTGAGCCCACCCACCGGCATGTGGCTCTCTTGGGCAATGTCCAGTCCTATGCAGTGCAGGCCAAGGCCCTGCTGGCTGGAAGCCTGCAAGCGGGGCAGCTTCTTCCACTGACAGAATGTCCCCCACACCCCCCATTTCCGGTGCCAGTTGCTGTTCTTCTCTCCTCACCACAGAGCTGTAAGTGTGTCCATCGGAGCCACAGACAGATGCCAGCTGGGTCATGTGACAAGGCTTGCAAAGGCTCTCCTTGTTTCCATGGAGTTTCACAGCAGGCTGCTTGATTCTGTGTGCACGTGCACGACAGCGGGAGAGAGATAAAGAGAGAAGCAGGAGCACGTATTAAAGCTGGTTGACCTCACAGCGGATGCACTCGCTCGCACAAAAGGTCCTCTTCGCGTTGGCATTTACGGAATGTGAAATATAGCCAACTTGGGAGACTGGGGAATGTTCTTCAAAGGACAAAGGGGTGACTTATAAGCGACTGGCTCTTAGCCGTCCTAAAGGAGCAGGCCAGTGCTGTGGTTTATATTATAAGAAGCAGAAATCAACAGGTGGGATCTGCTGTAGTTTAAAGGGGTGGTGAGGCAAAACCTGTAATCTATTACTTTTGCCCTCCTATGCCACCGTTAACGGCACAAAGCTTCAGCCTGCCAAAAAGGAGCAATTCTGACTTTCCATTACTCAATTTGTTTATGGAAGAAGAGACCAGAAGGTGCCCCTTGGATGTGCCAGCCAGGGAAAAACAAAACAGAGACAACATGGGGCAACACCAGCAAACCATGATACTAGTCCTCATGAAGGAGAAGAGCACCACAGTCATGACTACAAGCCAAACTGCAGTACATTCTCTCCCTCAGGGATATTACACACATACGTTCCCTAACTTTTCACCTTTAGATTTAAAAATAAAAGGATGCCTGCAGACCTTTTACTTGGATGGACATAAGGCAAACAGGTCTGACTTGCTCAATAAATTTTACAGCTACACAGTGCGATGCCACAGGATGGTGGACAATCACCTAGAAGATGTTTTTCTCCCTGATCATTAAACTGTATCTCAAATCAAGTAACTTTTAAGCCTACTAGACTAGGCTTTTCCAACCCTGAAACCCCAGACATGAGACTACAACTCCAATCCTCCCTGAACCCTCGCCATGAGAGTTGTAGTCCCAACATTCATCTGTGGCCTCCCCATTGGGAAAGCTTGCCTAGATTGTTGCATTTAAGCACTGGTTGATCTGCACTGACTAACAATCTCCTCCCCCCCTCGTAAGGTCCAGCTCACTGTAAGCTGCCTGGCAGAAGAGCTCAATACGCATGTTCCCAGTTGAGGATGAGTGCAGAGGGCAGAGGCTTCCTTACCTGTGCTCCAGCTTTTTGCGGCTAATGCACATGGCGCGCTGGTAGCCCTGGGCAATGCACACCTTGTGCCGACTGCATTTAACTTTCTGGCAGGGATCTTTGGTGGTGTCCAGGCCTGTGGAATGGGGTAAAGGGAGCGTGAGTAACTAGTGTACTACTAAACATTCCTTTTGCTTGCATCTGCATGGCTGTTGCTGTCTGATAAAGGGAGCCTTGTGTGCGCACACACACAAACATGCACGCACACAAAACATGCTAGAATCTACAAAGCAATTGCAGCTGCACATTGAAGCCCCTCGTTGTAGGCAGCTTTGTATCTGGATCAAAAGCCATTTCACAACTCAAAACAAGCGGCTAATATTCTTTTTTTAGTACTGTTTTATGAACAACTGTGCTACCTTCAGTAATGTATAATTTATTTGCCCATATAATCTGCAAGGTAATAATATCAGATCAAGAGACAGGCTGCTGTTCGTTGCTAACATTTCTTAGATTACCTCGTAAAATACAATTAAATGCACCACTCCGAAATAAAGCTACCCGAAATGCTGTGACAATGACAGCAGCACTTACCTTCTTGCAATCAACACTCTTTCTGATTTGTGCAACCTGACCCACAGTTAGCTGAGAGCAAAAAAGACGCCGCAAGAGCACCACCTTGCCATGTTCCCTACTTTCTTATTCTCGCCCTCATTGTGGCAGGAGTGCATAGTTGGCCTAATTATAGCTTGCAGGGTGCGGGGTGGGAAGCTGGTTCATATGTTCATCCTTGGTGGAAATATTCAGCAGTTTGAAATATGGTCGTTAATTCTGGCTAGGGTTCTCTCCACACTGAACTGCCACTACTTCTTAAAGTGATGCCTTTTATCAGCTGAACCTAGTGATCATCAGTTCCTGCATAAAGGCCTTCTTTGGCAACTGTATACTGCTGCAAGGTCCCAGATAGACCATCAGCGGAAGGCTCCAACGCAACCATCTAAACATCAGCAGATTGGTAACATTTGGAAGATTATGACAATGTGCAAATGTATTCAGCAAGTGCAGCAAGCAAGGAATCCTAATTTTACAGAGATAGTATGCCACTATGCTTTGTTTATTTCCTATGTGGAATCCTTTCAAATGCCTGATCAGGTTCCAAGCCAGTACAGATGCCTGTATTTCTGTGTGTGACTCTTGTCTGAGTATGTATGTAAAACACAGACTTTACATACCATGTAGCATATATATCCAATTTTTCATTAGATAAGAAACTTCTGAGAATGTTTTATTACAGAAGTTCCACAATCATACCTGGAATATACTAAAGATCCTAATTAGAGGGTTTCTTCATTTCTTGAGTGTTCTTCTGTTTTCTGATGTTATTCTTTTTAACTCTATTTTGAACATTATTTCAAAATTAAATGCAGTAAAATTAAACAAGAGAAGAATGTGAACGTGCATCTGTTCTATGGGGGAATAGTTCTTATCCTGGTCAGATGAGTTTGTGAATATGTAACCCACCCACATCTCTGTGGATCCACATCAGCACCTTTATGTACTGGCTGGCTTATACCGAATGGTGTCCAGTCCTGACGCACATAAACAGAAAGCTCTTTGAAATTTGCACTCAGTATTTGTTTGGCTGCACACAGAACAACTTTGTGCAAGCAACTCCTTTACCAAAGAATCAAGCTACAATGATTTTGGTCAAGGTTCTCCACCATGTTAATCCATGGGGATATCTTTTTACCAATTTGCCATCCAAAAGTGATCTAGCATTCTCCCTTTCCAATTTTTTATACATAAACATTTAGATTTTTTTTAATAATCCAAAGCTCTTTGGGAGGTCTGTACCTATTTAAAAAGAAATATAGCACTGTCTGCACCAATCATAGGATATAAATCAATGACATTCATGCATGTGCCCACAGAATTTAGCCATGATGTCTAGTTATCATGTGAGCCAAAACAGAAAAGATTTAAGCCAGAACTCTGATCCGGCAACAGCTGCCTGCCTATAGAAGGCTCTCATGTGCATTCCTGACAAGGATGCAGATCTCCATCCGAACCGTGATGCTCTTTCAGACCCCACTGAATTGTCAGGATTCGTCTTCTGATGTGAATGGAAGGCTGCATCAAATCCAGGTCCGCCCAGTTACATGTTACAAGTTGCCAGCTATTATTGTTGGATTTGAGCCACAGGCTTCAATCCAAGGGAGTGTTAAGAACACTTAAGCCCATCACTTTCAGTGGGCCTAATAAGCCCACTTAAATCTGTGAAGGCAGCAATCTTTACAAGCAGAAAAATGCAGCCTGCATCAGGCAGCCCTAAAAAAAAAAGGTTCCTTCTTGAAGGTCAACTGATCAGTATTCTTGTCAGGCCAGAACGGTCAAGGTGTTCTTTAAACTGAATTAATTTTATTGAATAAAGCCGAGAGAGATCAAACAACTGGTATTGTGTGCTTCATTTTTTAAAATAAAAAATTCTGAGGTCTGGCTTAGGCAGTGATTGGAAGTCAGCAAGTCAAGATCAGGTGTTGATAACTGGAGAATGCGGAGTTGGCAGGGTGCCAGTCCAAGTCACCACCGTCACGTCCTTGCTGCAGGTAACCTGGTGGCCCCCAAACCTTTTGGACTCCGATTCCCCTAATCCCAGACCATTGGCCATGCTGTCTGGGTCTTACTGGAGCTGTAGCCCAGATTATCTCGAGGACAGCTGGTTGTGTAACTCTGCTAGGGTTGGCTTCACATGCTGAAAATTCCAGGCTTCGTCCTTTGCAATTCTGGGACTGGGTAGAATGGACGAGCAGGAGATGGGAACATCTGGATCATCATCCTGGAGAGATGATGCCATTCAAAGAGTACAGCACTGGACTGGGCAGGTAAGTAGTCCAATTTCGTATAAAAACAATGCCCAACTCTACTGGGAAGCTGAATTTTCAGATCTATACTGAGTGTAACTGACCAGAACCAGCAACGAGTGTAGAGGGGCTGAGAGGGGGGCACTAATCCAACCACGCCACCCTCCTGATCTGTCCCCTTCTTACCTTGTTCAACACCGGCGCTCTGACCTCAGGGACATTAGGGCTGTGTGCGTCTGTGTGCGCATGCATGTGTGTGTGTATCACCCCCACAATGGTAGCCTGCCAAAAAATCCCATGTCTTCTTGAATGCCTTCTCAGAGCAGTGCTGCCCAAATTTAAAAACTATATAAACTTATGTATGGAACACCCAAAATTCAGCACGGATTTCTTCAGAAGAGTAAGCCTATTGTGCAAAAGCAGGACCGTTTCTGAGAAGGCTCTGCTCCAAGTTATAACATTATGGATCAACGGCTAAGAGCCCTGGATGTCTCAGATGAGAGAGGACAATTCAGGCTATACTACCTGCTTGTGCGTTTCACTTCTTGAGCAGAAGTTAGTCCTGCCCCATTCCATGTTTTATAATTTGAATGTTTATTCAGTGTTTGATTCCTTGCTTCTGCTGCGCCTGTGTTTTATGCAGCAATTTATCCTAATGGGACAGGGAAAGAAAGACTGACAGTACAATTCTATACACACTTACCTAGGAGTAAGCCTCATTAAATTCAGTGGGGCTTACTTCTGAATACATATGCGTAGGATTGCACTGGCATTAATTAAAATACCTGGAACAGAAATCATCCAAAAAAGAAATTGACTGAAGACATGGACAGCCTAATCTACTGAATTATCCAGGGCACAGTGGGAAGGAAAACTATGCTCAAGCCACACATCAAATTATTGTTTAACAATATGGATTAGGGGATAGACTATAATGAAAGGAGATTACTGCACCTGAGAGCTATATGGATTCCGAAGTGCCTTCATGTTGCTAACGGAGCAGAGGAAAAGAAAGATAAAAAGGAAGATAACAACCTCCAACCACAAGGAGACTTGCAATTTCTGAATTAGAACCAGGATTTTTGTACCTAGTAAAACACAGGGAGCCACACTCTTCTCCAAACATGTCTATATTCTGGCATGATAATTTGAGTTTGAAGCCAGTCCTAAACATTTTCAGAGCAGATGAAAGCAAGTCCGATGAGCCATGCATGTTAGCTTTGCCTCCAGTTGTACTGACATGCAGAAAAACCCTTCTGTGAAAAAGGCCTTGGCCACTTTCTTGTAGGAGGTGAGAGACTTTTAAAAGGTAAGCACCCCCCTCCCTCCAAAAGATACCTTCATCAACTGGCTGATTATCCTCCCAGCTCTTGATGTAGTCATCCTAAAGGGGAGAAGAAAAAGATAACATTTTAATAATTAAACTGAGGGTTTCTAATGTGGCACCCACTGGGAGTCATAGTGCCCTTGGGGACTTCCAACAGCGCCCACAAAGCTATTCTCTTCCCTGTCCCTTTCAAAATAAATCGTTTAAGCAACAATCCTGGAGTCGTCGTCGTCGTCTTCTCTCTCTCTCATCTCTCCTCTTTGCCTTGCTATTTTCACCTTCTTCCAGATCTCTAGCCTTGCTATTTCTCTTTCCCATCGCTACCTCTTTGTTCATTTTTGACTATCCAGTTTTCCCATAGCAGCCATTAGGCGACTAGCCACATCCACTGTGGCAGCCATTTTGTGATGGTACAAACAACAGTTTCTCACATTCCTAAATGTGCCTAGAGGTCCAAAACTGTTAGCAACTCTTTGTCAGCTATAAACATGCAGATCCTCAGAACTCCAGGAAAATCTAACTCCTTATACAGATGATGTAATGCTTCTTTGATGGCATGAATCCCAGCAAAGGGACTCCGTAATTTCAAAATGTGTGTGTTGGGCTTTTCCTGGAAAGCATAATAAAGAGGGTACGTCCAACAACTTGTTTGACTAAAGGTTATGAAAATCTGCACCTTTTAACATTCCTTCTTCTACTAAAAGGAAATGAACAGGTTCTAGAGTGGGCCTGTGGAATGTGTGCTTTCCAATGCTTGATGGTCTACAAACCCCCATCATCCATTACCACTGGCTATCCTGGTTAGCACTGATGGGAGTTGTAGTCCAACAACACCTGGTTGGCCACACATCTACTTCTCAAGGAAATTTGTCCCAGTCTTTTGTTTCTTTGAAGAAGAATTAGCAACAAAACCCAGGAATTTCAGAATAGCAGGCCACGTCCCTTAGACCACATGTTTCTGAGCTGTTCTGGACAGTTTCCAAATATGGCAAAGCACCAACCGTTAGCAGCCCACTGCAAATCAATGAAACCATTTTCAGTTGTAAAGTGCTATGCAATCAGAAATAAACATGCTCTATCAACCAGAAAAACAAACTAAATGTGGTTTAATGGGAGCCCTGGGGAAGCAAGATGGTCATCCTGATTCATCAAGGTGAAGGAAAAGCTGCCTACATCTCATCTCAAGAAACTTTCATTAAAAAATTAATAAATCTCAACTCACTGTGATTTGGGGGCAATCCAGGATATTTTTTAAAAGCTAGAATACCACCACAGGGTGGTTTCTTCCCTCAACTTTCATGCAATACCATCGTCTCATGTAAATACCACACATGGTAAAATTGTTTCCTTGGGTGGATGGAAAGTGTATCTCCAGATGTCTGGGGGGAAGTATCTGTGCAAAAGCTCCTGTCTGAGGTAAAGGGTTGGTATCTTCCAGATATATGATCTTCTAAAGCTTTGTTACTGCTGAGAGCGAAGCCATACAACTGGAGGAAACACATGGTACAAGTCTTGCTGGACTACACCACTTGAGAATGTAGATGACAAGTGAAGGATGAGCCCTCCCTTCCATATCAGAGCAAAACAAAATCTCCCTGCGCACAGAAAACAAGAGAGAGGCAAGCCTTCTAACTCACCTTTCTCTCTGTATTTCCTTCAAAGAGAAAGGTTTTTTTATACCTTTGTAGTCTGAAGTGGTACAGTCAAGCAAGAGCTGCACCATATGATTCTCTCACTCCTGTAGCTTGCTGTTAATTCAGCTGTAAGATGCCATTTCCTTGATGCTAATGAGGGTAGCATCTATTAAAACTGAATTTAGGTCACGATGTTTATGCAATGCCAATTCAGGTATTGCTGACTTTTTTTTTAAACCAGAAGACCACCACAGACATGAACACACACAACACTGGACCACACAGAACAGCCCTCCCAACAAACCAAAACCAAACTGTAAGGAAGACAAGGAGGGACAGGAATGTTAGAAGGGGACAGTACAGATACCTTGATATGAAGCCAGGCTTTAAATAAAAGTAAAAAAAAATCAATTACTAACCTCCACCTCCTGGAGAATTTAGGCCACACCAGAAGAGCAGTATAAATAAGAGAAAGAGAGAGAAAAAGCCAAGTTTAAAACCCCACACATGAAGCAGCAATTCACAGCAACCAGAGTTTATACAGGCAGCACGACCACTGCTTAATCTACTGCATAAATTCCTAGCAATGTCAGAATACATTTGCCAGAAATGATGTTTTATTAACCATTCCTCTAAAGCATTTTTGTTTTGTTTTTCTAATTTGCATCCATTAAGTTATTTGCCTGTAAGAATGACAACAAATGCATTTGGATTATAAGGAATATAAATCAAGATGAGGGCTGATAATTCAGGACATTTATTAAACGGCGCCATCTTCCTCCAGAGGCATTCGATTGCCTGAGGGGCACGAACGAGAAGATCTCAGCAGGCTGCTCTGGAGTGCTCCTCATATTTCACACTCTGACATTCTCAACAACACGCGCGCCTGAAGATTTCTCCCTTTGCCGCTGCAAATGAAAAATGAAGCAAGCACATGATTAAGGACACAAGCCTATCCAAGATAAGAGACAACAGGCCTGTAACTGCTGGCATGCCCCAGTGAGCCCTTCCTGTCTAAACTTGCACCAGTTTGCCTTAGGACTATCTGCTGGTGACAGTCTCTGTACTGCCAGCTCATTGTGCCATTTCCCCTGAAATTCACCCCCAGAGGAATATATGAGGAACTACTGATAAGTATGGAACCAGCCATTGATAATCTGAATGCACACTTCCATTGTGGTCATTGATCCGGCCATGTTGTTCCTGCAATAAGCTTTTTGGGTGCCACTGCATCCACTCACATAACCAAAGGTTACCAGTGAGAAGGGAAAGATAAAGGAGGTATATTTTTCTTACAGTGTGTTATTTTCCTCCTACTTCTATAACCAGAGGCCTGAATTCTATTTCAGACAAGTTCTCAAGGGCTTGAAAAGGGTGTTCCTGTGCCACTCCTTTGATCAGGCAAAGAGGAGATCAGCTCTGTCTATCCCATAATGAAACAGGACTACAGTCCTTTATCGCAGTCCTCAGGTCATCTCCTCCTTTGACCACCAAAAGAGGCATGATGCAGTTCTCTAAGTGATCCTTGCTTTGCATTTTAACTTGAAGAGCTCAGCTTAGGTTAATAAGCTTTATTTTCAAGAGCCCATTCCGCTTCTTATTCTTGTTTAAGACCTCCCTTCTTTCAATCTGGAGCTGAATTTGAGGGCGAGTTTCTGGCAAACACAACAGAAGCTTCTCTCCCTCCCTTCTGTCTGGAGCCACCTGCCTGAGCTTACCTGCCTGTGCCTATAGGGATGTAAATGGAAAGCAGGCTGCTTTCCCCCATGACGAGAGGTTTCAGATGCTCACTACCTCCCATCCAGCAGATAATTAGCCCACAGCTTCAGGGTCCCTTTCTCCAGGATTCAAGGGGGAAAGGGTGGTAGGGGTAAGAGCCAAGCGATTGGGAAGAAGTGTGCTCAACCAGCCTTACAAGGTAGTTGGGGCACACCTGTCTTAACAGGAGTTTGGTCCAATCTGGCAGGTTCTTAGGTGGTGGCGTATCACTAGTACTGACGAAGAACTGCTGACAGGTGGTTCCAGTTTCACAAACACCTTCACAACCCCTGGATGATCATCTCACTCTAACTCAGGGGTGCAGATTCCAGCCTATTTTCACTTAAAACTCTTTGGTGGTATCAAACTCTTAAGAGAGGCAGTTTTGCACACATCCCATGCCTGATATTCGGCACCGTCATCTTAAGGGTAATGATACTTCAAGTGAGTATGTGGCCATCTGCAAAAGCTATTCTCCAGCTTGCCTAACTCACCACACTACAGAGGCTGATACCTTGAAAAGGACCGTCTTTTTTGCCAGAATCCTGCAGCATTCAGTTGTCTTTGCCCTTGAGTGGGACTCTCCAGAAAAGCAATTCCCTGTGCCTACCTCCGTGACATCCCATCAACCCCGGCCTTTCATTTTCGAGGCCCCGGCGGGACCTCTACTGCTTCTTCCCCTCGGCCAAGCTTCCTCTCTGCAGCATGGCTGGAAGGCCCAAACCATGAGATGAGGGCCCCGCAGGACGAAGAGGCCACATGCTGGCTCGGCTTGACGTCAGAGGCATCGCGTGGCCCCATCTGCCATCCCCACTCTTTGTGACGCGCGCACTCCTGAGCTGAGAGAGGAAAACAAACGACTTCTCTCTTGCTCAAGGCTGCCAAGCCCCTTCCCCTTCCGCTGGGACCCTCTTCAACAGTGCCGCCCACCGCTTGACAGTGCTCCTCCCGCTCTGCCCTGGCCCCGCCCCACAGGACACTGCCAGGAATGGCAGCCAAGTGAGCCAATGAGCTCAGCACTGCGGATGGCGGCACGGAGGTTCTGCGGAGCCACCTGCCGCCCTGGGATTCTGTCCGAGGGCAAGGATGGAGAAGACTCCACCGGTTAGGCGGGCAGCCAGGTGATGGGGATGCAGGAGGGGAAGGGCTGATTCAAAGTGCTCGCTGAGGCTCATTTCAAAGCACACTTGGCTGTGCTGATGCCCACGGAGTAACGCTGAGCAAAACAGCCCTGGCCCCACTTAGTTGCTCTGCCAATGTGAGCATGAAGCAGGGTAACCTCGTATATATTCTCTTGAGTTTCTGACAAGAACAAAGAGCACGAGAGAGAGAGAGAGAGAGAGAGAGAGAGAGAGAGAGAGAGAGAGAGAGAGAGAGAGAGAGAGAGAGAAGCTAGGGAAACGGGGAACCTTAGATTAAACAAGTAAGAGAGATGAGAGCCAAATGAACCACTGCTGCCACAGCCATAGGACATCCTCATGGTCACTGCAAATGGTTATTCTTCCACCTTTCCATCGCTGTACACACTGTACAACCACTGTACACACACTACAAGAACTACTGATCTCTCATGGTTGTATTGGCAGCAATGAGAGTCTAGTTGTAGCTATGGGAAATCTGAACTCTGTGCCTTACATTCCAACAAATGCATGATCAGGAGTTAAGGTAGTCACAAGAGCCAGACCAGAACATTAAAAAAAGGACATTTTGTGCTAGTTTATTTAGGGAGCGTTCAGGCACCTCCTGTCCTGTGCATGAAAACGAAATGGGAAGGTGGCTGCAGGGCCATGAATAGGAAGCAAAGAACTGGAGGCAGGGATTATGATTATGGTTACGGTACATGTCCAGCTTTTGGGAGGGACCCAAGTTGGCTTTCATATGCCTTCCTCTCTCACTTTTACCCTCACAACAATCCTGTGAGGTCAGTTGGGCTGAGAGTCAGTGAATGGCCCAAAGTCAGCTAGTGAGTTTCACAGTCATTTTCAGTGGAAGCCTCATATTTGCAGTAGCAGGATAGTAGTACCATTAGGTGCTAGACCAGCCTTTCCCAATCTGGTATTCTCCGGATATTCTGGACTTTAACTCCCATCAGCCCCAGCCAGCAAATGTTCAGAAATACCGAAAGTCACAGCCCAAAACATCTGGAGGGGAGTAGGTAGGGCAATCTGTACTGAACAAGTCAAGTATTTGCTCATATGAGGAACCTGTACACGCACAAGCCAGTACACATACAGGTATCCATCTGCAAAGCACCCAAACATGTGAAAGCTGGCCATGTATGTGTTTTCAGAAAAAAATCAGCTACTGGTATATAGAAAAAGAAACTAACTCCTGATGCATTAATGGGGTGAATTCACACATGTACCGTCATAATATCAAAATGTAACTTTCAAGTAAGAAACAGCCATCAGGGGATGTCAAATATTGCAGCTCTCCTATCTGCTCACATCTGCCCCATAGGCCCCATTTAAGTTGGGACAGAGGGAGGACTGTTACCTCCCTGTTAACATTTTCGACAGACAAACACATCTTACCAGGAAGTATAAAGGAAAATACACAAAGGTTCTTGGCGCACACATGCACCAAGAGATCCAGGTCTTGCACATGGTGTTTGAACCAGAAACCACAGTTATAAATTAGAAGATTATTCAAAGTTGTACCCGAAATGGGGATGGTTTAATGAGTGATATGCCAGCTCATCAAGATTCCCTGAATATCAGCCTGCTGCTCATGCTCATGTTTGCAACTTCTGTTTGTTTTGCGTGAATGGGAATGGGAAACCCGAATTTCTTCATTCGGACATAATTGGAGAACTCTGGTTTACTGCAAGTCAGGAACGAGGTGCTGAAATGCCCACACACAAGGGGAGAGAAGAGGGCACAAGCCTACACTCATTCTGGCTTGAAAAACTGGCTTTAGGAAGATCATCTGGACTAAGTGAGATGAGATCAGATAATTCACCTGTGTGTTTGAAATGAGCCCAGCTCGTAGCTGCCAGGAGTCCTGTCAAAGGCTAATCCATGCTTGCAAAGCAGAGGGGTTACCTTCAGATGGTTTAACGCTTCTGAAATAATCCTTTCTACTCGGCTCTTTTTGCTTGCTCTTTCCAGGGGGAGAGGAAAGGGTTGCCAGAGTAGGCCATCTGAGACAGTGGCTCTCTTGAGAGGTCAGACTGCTGAAGGAGACACTGTCTGACCTTGGCTGTACTGCAGAGGCACACATTTGCTGAGCAAGAGTGCTTTCTGAAGGCATGCTGGGAACTGAAATGCTTCTCAGCCTTTCTATTCTGTGCCAGCCGCTATACCATAATAACATCCAACAGTTCTCTTTGAGAGCAAGTCTGTGTCTAAGGACTGATTCTCAGTGATGCTACAACATCAGTCTTCCCCCTGATGATTAGGAGTACAACTCCCATTAGCCCCAGACAAGACAGGCAATGGCCAGGAATGCTGGGTGCTGCACTCCAAAACATCTGGAGGCCATCAGCCTGGGGAAGATCGGTGCAACGGCAACAATGAGGCCATCACTGAAAATGGCCATGCGGCATCTAGTTCCTCCCCTCACGCCTCATCTCCAAGGCAACAGGGTGGTGCTGTGAACACCTCCTTCCTCACCGAATGTCAGCCAACCATGCCAAGCAGAGATGAGAAACTCCACCGCATGATCCCAT